TCTCTCTCTCTCTCTCTCTCTCTCTCTCTCTCTCTCTCTCTCTCTCTCTCACACACACACACACACACACACACACACACACACACACACACTCAAACTCATATCCACATGCATGGCCTACCCACCTGGGTGACAGCTTGAACAGAAGGTGGATAAGGCCGGTCAGCAGAAGAAAGATGGACACAGTAACCAGGATGCTATTCGACCACGGCCAGGACGGGAGCAGGAGACCTGGGGGCAGAAAGAGTCCATGGCTGTCAGCAGCCTCAGTGCCAGGATGTTCCCCTCAGTCCACATGGGAAAAAAAAAAAAAAGCAACCATTAGTTCTCTGAGTCAAAGCAGAAGGGGTCTACGATGGACCTTGGGGTTTGTGTCACACCTCTGATGTTCCTGGGGTGATCTCATCTGCACCACTCCCTTCCTATCTGCCATATGGTTGATGGTCATCACCGCACATAGGGTCAGCCCAACACTCGCAAAGGAAACCCAGGTCTTGTCCAGCCTCAGACAGAAGTATCAGCCAGTGTGCAGTCCTGGACACCCTTGCTCCTAACGGTGGCCACTAGCTATGAAGCCTCACACATCTCAGAAACAAGGGGAAGGCTGTAGGTTGATAAAATGGAGGAGAGGCAGAAGGACCCAAGGAACAGAGACTCGGCCCCGGCCGTGACAAGGCAGCCACCACACAGCACCTACCCTGTCTCCATCTCCGGGGAGAAGGGAAGGACACTGGCTGGCTCCACTCACTCCAGTGGCTCTTATGATACTCCCCTTCTACCGTGTTCCCATTCTCCAACAAAGTCATCTGGACACGCAGTCTGGCCTCGTAGATGGAACCAGGATTCAGTTCGACGGCTTCAAGGCTGAGCCAGGTCACTCCAACAATACGGTCCTTGTGCCGGGCCTCCTGCAGAGTTGGGGGCATTTGACTGAGCGCAGGGTCCCAAAGAATGGACACACATGTACCAGCAAGCCCACCTGCACATATTTAGACACATCTATGGGTACACACTCACCACCTTTGTGCACTCTCTCCAGTATGCATTCACCCGTATAAGCTTAGAGCAAAGACACACTCACACACATACAAACACACATGTACAAACATACACACTCACACACTATGTTCATAGACACACACACACACAAGCATAGGCTTGTATGTAGACAGCACACACGTGCACATCTAACTCTGACTCCATCGGTTCTCACCCCTGACTCTAGCCAGTCCCAGGAGAGAAGACCTCGGGGCGCTACCACCCTGTTACCTCCCAGGCCTCTTCCTGCTTCTTGAAGGCCAGCTCATAGCTGAGGAGTGTGCTCCAGGGCTCCAGAGCAAAATCTATGCTCCAGGTCAGGACACAGCGCTCGGAGCTGACATTGCTCTGCAGATCCGAGGGAGGGTCCAGTTTAACTGAAACAAGAAGGGCCCAGTGAGGCTGCGGCTACCATTGGGTCCCTCAGCATGGCCAGAACTGGGACCAAGAACATCACCAAGAAGTCATGGTCAGGGCTCCTTCAGGCCAGGGACCTCATTCGAAGACTAATTCAGGAAAGCCCTTTGAGGAAAGGCAGTCAATGACTTCCTTAAGTCCTGGGCAGCAAGGTGATTTCCTTCACAATTGGCTGCTGGAAGTTCTTCCTGGTGCCCTCCCGGAGTAATTCCTGCTCTGACTGAAGTGCATTTCCAGTAGCTCGGACTGTAGTGTCTAGCCCCACCTGGCCATGTCTTTTCATGTCTTTGCCGGAACCCTGGCCCTGCGGCAGCCATTATGCCCCCTCTCCAGGGTCCGATCTGCTTCAAGTCCTGCTTGGCAAGGATCCTCAGGCAGAGCCGAAGGCTCAAGGCCACAACCTCAGAGCCACGCAGCAAAGCCACTGCTGGCAGGGCTGTCCCACTCACCATGTCTCTGCGGCAGGAACTGTGAGTCCACCAGGCTGACCTGCTCCTGCCCCAGGACACACCGGTGTAGAGTGATGGTGAAGTTATCGGTCGGCACCAACACCTCCTCCGGAGGCAGCACGAGGGTACACACGCTGTCCCAGAAGGTGCACCTGTGCCTGATGTCCGTCATCTGGTTACTGGAAAGGCCGAGGGTTAGCATGGGTGCTGCCACCACGGGGACCCTGTACCCTCCCCCAAGCAGCCTGGCCCTCCATCCTCACCTGGTAAAGAGGAGCCAGGCCCTGGGTTCCAGGCCCAGCTCTGGAGTCGACCAGGAGCAGTCAATCCTGAAAATACTGTTGCTGAGGCAGGTGAATGTCCCAGCCTGCGGCCCTGGGGATGGGGATGGTGGGAGCACACAGTAGGGCCTCGAGGCAGAGCTGAGGTAGGTGGGGGGGATCTGACCAGATAGACTCCAGAGAAAGTCCCCAGAGAATGTGTCGGGGCAGAATAAGAGGCTTGGGAATGGCTAGGTTTTGACCATGGTACCAGGACCAGTCAGACCTCAGAGCTTTGTGGGGTGGGAGATAGTGGACACCAGAGGACAGGTTCCAGCAATGTTTGGGTCCGTGCTTTTATCTGGGTTGTCACAGATGACAGCTTGTCCCTAACTCTCTATCCGGCCACCTCAGGGAGATATGGTGCCCAACGCTCACCTGCTCCGGGCTCTGGGATGGAGGCTCCCCAGCAGACACAAGAGTTGACGCAGGTGTAGACCAGGAACCAGGAGCCCAGGACCTGTTTCCCTGCCATCCTCTCCGAGGGCCAACCTGCAAAAGACTCAACTGTAGGGCCCATGGGAGGCATCCCCCGTGGGAGGCGTCCCTGTGCTAGGCACCCCCTGTGGGAGGTGTCCCTGTGGGAGGCACCCCGTGGGAGGCGTCCCTGTGCTAGGCACCCCCTGTGGGAGGCGTCCCCTGTGGGAGGCACCCCCTGTGCTAGGCACCCCTGTGGGAGGCACCTCCTGTGCTAGGCACCCGGTAGGAGGCCTGCTTCCCACAGCAGATGCCCTTACCATGTGCTGTGGACAGGACTGGGCACAGCTCGCCAGCTTCACCGATTAACTGAAGCTTAGGAAAGCCACTTGACCCCACCGAGGACTGGTGCCTTCAGCACTGAGCTGCTCCCTCAGACTCAGATCTCCTGGATCCTAGGCTGTGACAGCAGCACGTCCACACTTACCTGCCGTCCCTCTCAGCCTGGTGCCCTAGGCTCGGCAATACCTGCACTTTCTGTCTTGGATGTTTGTTTGTTTGTTTGTTTGTTTTGAGGTGAGGTCTCTCTATGTAGCCCTGGCTGTCCTGGAACTCACTCTGTAGACAGGCTGGCCTTGAACTCACAGAGATCCTCCAGCCTCTGCCTCTTGAGCGCTGGGATGCTGGTATTAAAGGCATGCACCACCATGCCCAGCTTTGCCTAGGTTCTCACGACTGTCCAGTCGCAATGCGGAAGTGGAGCCACATAGAGGACCAGGGCTGTTCTCGGGGTCACAGGACAAGTCTCTGTGCAGTGACTTATTTGTTACTCCAGAAATAGACTTCTCCCAGAGTTCTGCCCTGGGAACACAGGGAAGATAGCAGATGTCTAGGTAACAGACAGCTCTCTCCAAACTGTATGTCAAGTGGTGTTCTCAGCCGTCCCACAAAGGGAAGCCCCTGAGAAGAGCAAGACCTGGAGCCCTGGAATCCCCAAGAAGCCAGAAGTGGATGGAGACCAGAAGCTACCTCTCAGAAAGTGCCTGACTTCCTGAGAGGAGGGATGGGACCCTACTGAGGCCCTGTCACCATTTACATCTACAGATGGCTCACTGATAGCCCCTGAGCAGGAAGCAGGGCCACCCTGGTTACACAAGCCTGATGAGTGATAAGGAAGAAGGAAGCACACAAACTCAGAGCCCACGGTCCCGGCCTTCAGGAGTCTGCATCACCTCAGCAGGCAGCACCCTGACCCACCCACGCACCCAGTAGCCCGTCTGCACAACCCCAAGACAGACTTCTCCAACCCACCACCCAGCAGTCTGCCCGTCCGTCTGTACCTCTAGACAAACTCACTAAGGCTTTGTCCTCCTCTGGGATGGAGCCTGCAACCTGGGTCACCAAGGACATGAGAACTAAGCTCCCCGGAAAGTGTGTGTCACCTCTCGTGGTGATCATTGGCCAAGTGGGGACGAGATACATATTCTCTCTCTCTCTCTCTCTCTCTCTCTCTCTCTCTCTCTCTCTCTCTCTCTTTGGTTTTGTGTAGCTTTGGGCCTTTCCTGGACCTCACTCTGTAGCCCAGGCTGGACACATATTCTCAAATGCTCCGAGGGTCTATGAGAGCAGGATCCTAGACTCACAGAACCTGGGGGAGGATCAGCGCTGCCACAACTCCCAGCTGAGAACCGACACAGACCTCAGGGACAACTTGCCACCCCTGGAGAGGATCACCCATTGCAGCCTCGGGTTGACGCGTGAGCAGATGACTTGGGAGGAAGGAGGAGAGTGACTTCCAGCCCAGCGGACCCCGTTCCTAGCCAGGGACAGAGGCAGGTGCACCAGGGTTGGAAATGGCCCGGTGCAGATGTGTGGGTGGGGAACATTTCCTCTGCACAGGGAACCTCCATGCCTACTGGGCGACTTGGGGAGGGTGGGGTCACTACCCTTCTAATGATGGAAGACCAGGGACTAACCCAGCATGTGACTCTTGGACCCCTGTTTTAGGAAGGGGTCCCACAAACTGCCACACCATCCATGAACTTTCTGAGTGCAATGTGTGGGTCCTGGGGCTTGACCTCACCAACGAGGCCAAAGTCTTGGACATCACAAACCTCTCTGTCCCCACAGCGCTACCAGTACATGTTGGAACACATCACTGGCAGGGATCCCCTCCGTGACAGAGAGACCGTGGGTCAGGTGCTTAGGACAGAGGGAGGCAACTGAACTCTCACTGATCCCTGAAAAGGAGCTGGGCTCATATCAAAAATGTCTGACCACAACCCATACACACCAGGCTACAGGACCTGTGAGAACCTGGAGAAACCAACACCCACCATCTTGAAATGGATGCTCCCGGGCATACGGTCCTGCTGTGGAGGCCCCACCACTGCCCAGCACAGCCCTTCACATCAGGTGTGAGGATATAGCCCTAGCCTCCCAGCCTCTCAAAAAAATGATAATACTAATACCAATAACAGCAACAACAATACAGTTGTGGTCAAGGGTCAAGAAAAGGGCTCACTAAATACTCTATAAGGAGCCACAGCTAAGCCCTGCTCTGTGTGTGTGCGTGTGCGTGTGTGTGTGCGTGTGTGTGCGTGTGTGTGTCTGCATGCACAAGGTACTTTTTTAATAATTTACTTATTTTTATTTTATGTGCCTTGGTGTTTTGCCATGGGTTTCGGGTCCCCAGGAGCTGCAGTTACAGACAGTTGTGAGCTGCCATGTGGGTGCTGGGAATTGAACCTGGGTCCTCAGGAAAAGTAGTCAGTGCTCTTAACTGCTGAGCCATTTCTTCGGCCCCCCCCACAAGGAACTTTGCCGGGCGGTGGTGGCGCACGCCTTTAATCCCAGCACTCCGGAGGAAGAGGAAGGCCTGGTCTACAGAGCGAGTCCCAGGGCAAGCAGGGGTGTTACAGAGAAAACCTGTCTTGAAAAACGATAGATGGATATGGATGGATAGATAGTCAAGAACAGAGCTAAGTAAGTACTCTACAAGAAGCCACAGCTCTGCGTGTGTGTGTGTGTGTGTGCGCGTGTGTGTGTGTGTGTGTGTGTGTGTGTGTGTGTGTGTGTACATGCACTCATGAGGTACTGCAATACTCTACCACTAAACTGCATTCCAGGTTATATTTCCCCTCGAGACAGGGTTTCTCTGTGTAACAGCTCTGGCTGTCCTAGAACTCATTTTTTAAAACAGGCTGGCCTTGAAATTCACAGAGATCCGCCTGTCTCTATCTCCTGAGTGCTGGGATTAAAGGCGTGTGCCACCACCGCCATCAGCAAGTGCCCTAAACCTCTAAACCATCCCTCCGTCTCTTCTTTTCTTTTCTCTGTACTGGCTATTGAACCCGGGGCCTTGTGCATGCTAGGCATGCACCTACCAGCTGAGTTATCTCCCCAGGCCCTGCTCTCTGTCTTACCAGGGGCGGGGGAACTCCCCATTCTCCTGCCCACGCACAAAGCCCACAGAAATGGAGGCGAATGGAAGGAGACTGCTCTTTAGGTGAACCTTGTCCAGCAGTGTCTTCTCTCTGGAGGGGGACATCCCCATCCCTCCATCAGCAGCAGGAGCCTGTGGCATATGGAAGCTGTGCCAGGAAATGGGGCTGGGGTGGGCCCAGGATCCAGCTTCCCCTTGGGAACTGCCCCCCTGGGGTGTAAGGACCTTCTCTGACACAGGGGACATCCTGCCATGCACAGGGCGTGTGAGGACACTGATGATACTGCCGGGGATGGTAAGAACTGGAAGGACGGTGCCAGCAGACCAAGTGGGTGAGGACCAAGTGACAGACCGGAAGGAGTCGAGATGAGGGGCCAAGAAGGAAGCCCCCCAGAACACCCTCCCACATACTTCCGGCAGGAAGGACAGCTAATGGAGCAGATATCCACGGCACACTTGGCTGGACTCAGACAAGGCCGGCTCCAGAAGTGGTGGGTGTACCAGGGAAGAAAAGAAGGGTGGCAGCTCTGAATAGCACCGGGAAGCTGGTGGGGAGGTGCCCAGGGAGCTTCTCCTGGCATTCTTACTCCGTCCCTCCAACTGGCTTCTTTGCCCATCCTAGAGCGCTTGCCCACCTTCCAGCCTAGCTTCCTTGCCTGATGGGACAACTGTGCCCAGGCTCGGCTAGCTGTGTCTCTCAGCACCCGAACAAGAGGTCCCGGCCAAGGCAGGGCTCAAGCAGATGTACTGACACTGTGCACTTGAAGGGTGGGTGGGTGGGAGGAAATGGTGCCCGGCTACTCCCACTGCCTTCGTGAGGAAGTGCCTCCTATGCCCTGCACTGGCAGGGGCCTCCCCGAAGCCACCTGCAAGCGAGGCTGATTAAACCAGATGGGCGAGGTCCTGATAATGCATGCCTCTTGCACCAGCCCAACTCCTGAACAAAAATGCCCTCCCATACCCTCCCAAAGCCACCCTGCCCCTGGGGGCATCCAGGACTTTTCACCATCGTGGGAGTCATAGGTTAAAGTTTACTCCTAGGAGGCCGAGCCAAGAGCATCAGCGTCCTGGGAAGATCAAGTTAGGGAAAAGAGGGGGAGTCCCAGAAAAACAGCCTCCTGAAGCCCAGTAACCCGGAAACAGAATGCTGCTCCCCCACACACCACACACCCTCCTCCTCTCCCCACCCCAACCCCACCGAGCTAACCTGGAATCCCACCCACATGCACTGCCCCCCCCCCCATAGCCTCCTCTACCATGAAGCTTTCCAAAGATCTGGGGGTTTAGAGGGACTTTACCAACCTGGGCCTACGCTGTTAGGTTTTGTTGCCCCCAAAAGTCAGCTCAACCAGAGAAGCAAACCTTTTTCCACAATCAGCAATGTGTCCTGACAAGCTTGCTGTCCTTCGTTCTGTCGCTTCAGGGCATGGACACACTGCCCTCACCCTCACCCCCACCCCAGCCCTGAACACTGCAGTCTGCCATTTCATAATTATCTCTGCAAAGATGCCACCTCTGGGAGACGGTCGAGACCAGCGCACTAGGCAACGTCGCAGGAGGTTGTCACCCACGTCACCAGGGTCACAGTACCTCTCTGCCTCCTGAAGCTCACATTAATCTGAGAAGAGGGGAGCCCTAAACACAGACTCACCTTCTGAGGTGCATCTTCTCAGGGCCATAGAGAGTCGCAGGCAACCCCAGCCAGGAGGCGACTTTCCTGCCAACTGTCCTCGCGTGAACTGCAAAGCCCCTTACCTGATCCAGGAGATAAGTCTCAGCAGGCGGACATGGGCCACCCACATCTGAAACCACAAGCACATCACAGAGCTGCTGTCCTCCATGGAGCTGAGAGGTGCCTGTCACTGCCTGCTGCAAGCCAGAGAATGGGATAAGACAGAGGAGGGATAAGACTTCACTCCATGACACCGAGCATCACCAGACAGGGACGGTGGACATTTGTCTAACGACTGACCGAGTGTGCACTGTCCTCCCAGGAACCCCACAAGAGCACACGGGCAGCAAGGACATGGTACAGAGCAGGCTTGAGCAGAAGCCCTTCTAGGTTTTTCCCCTTCGAGGTTTTTTGAGACAGCACTGACAGCAAGTATGAGTGCTAAACGTAAGTAAAAACTCAGTCAAGAGAAACAAACAAGACGGACGGTTGGTGGGGCACGCCTTTAATCCCAGCACTCCGGAGGAAGAGGAAGGCCTGGTCTACAGAGCGAGTCCCAGGGCAAGCAGGGGTGTTACAGAGAAAACCTGTCTTGAAAAACGATAGATGGATATGGATGGATAGATAGATAGATAGATAGATAGATAGATAGATAGATAGATAGATAGATAGATAAGGACTTTTGAAATGGGAGATCTTTACCTCTCCCTCATGGATGCCCGTGTGAGCACAGACACTTCTTTATATTTTTATTAAGTTTTTGTTTTTTTATTTTGATTTGCTTCTTGAGACAAGATCTCTCTATTATATGGCTCTGACTGTCCCAGAACTCATTACTGGAAGCAGGTGGCCTCAAACTCACAAAGATCCACTGGCCTCTGCTTCCTCAGTTGCTGGGATGAAAGGTGTGTGCACCACACTTGATTTTGTGGGGTTTTGTGTTTGGTTGGTTTGGGTTTGGGTTTATGTTTTTGGATATTTGCCTGCATGTATGTCTCTGCACCACATGTGTGCCTGGTGCCCTTGGGGTTCCATCAAAAGAAGTTGGACCACTGGTTGTGAGCCAGAGTCCTCTGGAAGACCAGCCAAGGCTCCTAACCACTGAGCCATCTCTCTAGTCCCCCAAGCACACTTGTTTTTGTTTTTTAAGCTCACATAAGATTATTAGATATAAAAAAAGAAAAAGAAAAGAAACAGAGCTAGAAACTCCACCCTGAAGACAGTGAGCCAGGCATGGTGATTCATGCCCGGAACCCCAGCACTTGGGAGCTAGTCAGGAGGCTCAGAAGGGCAACATCATCCTCTACAGAGTGAGTTTAAGACCCGCCTAGGCTATGTGAGATCCTGTCCCAAAAATAAGAAGGAAGGGGCTGGGGAAAAGGGACTAGATCGTTACATGAAGCACTAACTGAAATGGACCTTCTGGAGTTCTTCTCTAAGCCTTCTGTGAGGACTACATTTGTTACTACTTTTATGAATTACTCTTATTATCATTAGTTTGGTCCTCCTTGAAACCTCAGTATTTAGAAGAATGAGTAAAGTCATTTGGGCTTTCAATCTGTTGACCAAATGGATCAATATCATCTCTTCATTTCCTTTTCTACTATTCATTGCCTAATACATAATGGAATTTTTATATTTTTATGTTAAAAAGTGGCATATTCATCTGCATCAGCCAGGGGCTCTAGAGGAACAGAACCAATAGAACTGAGACATATTAAAGGGAGTTGTAGCAGATTGGTTTACCCAGTACAGTTTGGGTATCAAACAACAGCTGCCTGCACACTGGAGAGACTGAGAACCCAGGAGATGCTCAGTCCTCAAGGCCGGATGCCTCAGCAGTTCTTTTTTTTTTTTTTTTTTTTTTTCGAGACAGGGTTTCTCTGTGTAGTTTTGGTGTCTGTCCTGGGTCTTGCTCTGTAGACCAGGCTGGCCTCGAACTCACAGAGATCCACCTGCCTCTGCCTCCCTAGTGCTGGGATTAAAGGCGCCACCACCAGCCATCACCAGCAGTTCTAAGGCCAAGAGAATTCTTGGAGAGCCACTTGTCTTCAATCGGCGTTGGAAGCTGAAAAGGCTGAGTTCCGGTGTCACTGGAAGACAGTGGAAACCATGACATCAACAGAATGGATGAACTCATGAACAAAACACAGAAGCAAGCAGCAGGCAAAAAGCAAAATCTTCCCCCTCGGACCACTTTATATTAATGTCTCAGCTGCCACCAGAAGGTGTGGCTCACATTCCAGGTGAGTCTTCCCATTTCAATTAATGTAACCAAGAAAATCCCAGAAACCAGAAGGGCCAAGTAGTTAAGGCATCAGACTCATGAAAATTCACCACAGGCATGCCCAAATGTTGACCTAATCTAAATACCTCACAGATAAACCAGAGACTTGTCTCACAGGTGAGTCTCTGTCCTGTTAACAATCAATATTAATCATTACAAGTCCACCCTTGTCAACCTGACACCCAAACACATATCCTTACATCATGCTTAATTTCCAAGTGAAGACAAGTTCACAATTCTGCCTAATGTAACTATCCCAGTACAACCACAAGCACACTATCCTTCCCTCAAAGTAGGTCAGGGTCCCTTTAATGCTTAGTCTTTTAGTGTCCCAAAAGGTATATCTAATAATAAATATTTACAAGACTTAGTAACTGATATGATGCTGCTTCACAATTCTGTGCTGATGTGAACTTACGGAGATCCAGACACAGATGTGAAGCAGGACAGAAGAACACGAAAATTACTGTGGCATAAAAAGGAAAACATGGGAAAGAAAAAAGGCCATTCGTCCCAAGATCTGGTTTTCCCTTTCTGATGATAAAGACAGAAAACTTGACACAACTAATAAAGCCAAAATGGCCCGAAACAGTATGTGCTTGAGAGGAGACATCGCAAACAAAAATGTCAAAGACAAGAAAGAAGTTGTGCTTCTTTGTTTGTTTGTTTGTTTGTTTTTTCGAAACTGAGTTTCTCTGCATAACAGCCTGGGCTGTCCTGGAACTCTCTCTGTACACCAGACTGGCCTCGAACTCACAGAGATTCACCTGTCTCTAACTCCTGAGTGCTGGGATTAAAGGTGTGCGCCACCACCTGGCCAGAAATTGTGCTTCTTTAGGCCAAATTAATCTATACCATAGAAGGGGTTTTTTGTTTGTTTGTTTGTTTGTTTGGCTGGCTGGCTGGCTGGCTGGCTGGTTGGTTGGTTTGGTCTGCTTTGAGACAAGGTCTCACTGTGTAATCCGTTTGTTTTACTTTCTTCATCTCAGCTATACAACCCTGGTGAGCCTTGACCAGATCCCCCTGACTCAGTTTCTCCTAATGCTGGATTAGAGGCATGCAACAGGCTTGGGACAAGGGCTGGAGTTTCTTTTTTGTTTTGTTTTTGTTTTTCAAGACAGGTTTTCTCTCCGTAGCCCTGGTTGTCCTAGAACTTGTTCTGTGGAGAGAGCTGGCCTCAAACTCACAGAGATCCTCCTGCCTCTGCCTTCTGAGTACTGGGATTAAAGGTGTGTGCCACCACTGCCAGGTAAGAACTGGAGTTTAAAATAGGGTAACCATTATTTAAGAGAGAGAGAGAGAGAGGGAGAGGGAGAGGGAGAGGGAGAGGGAGAGAGAGAGAGAGAGTGCTCAGCAGTTAGGAGTCTTGGTTCCTCTCCCAGGAGACTCAGGTTCAATTCCCAGAACCCACATGATGGTTCATAACTGTCTCTAACTCCAGTCCTAGAGGATCTGACACCCTGACCTCTGTGGGCATTGCACACACGGTGCACAGAAGAAATCAATGCAGACAAAGCACCCATGCACACGAGATAAAAATGGGCGCTATAGCTGTTACAGGGACTGGTGTAAAAAGGCAATAGAAAGAACATGAAGACTGGAGACCAGAGAAGGTGGTGAGCAGATGGGAGCCTGTCACTGCCACCCTGCATGGCACGAAAGACTATGGATCCCGCCTGGATTTGTTTGTTTTGTTTTTTTGAGACAGGGTTTACTTACCTGTTGTAGCCCTGGCTGTCCTCGAACTAGCTCTGTAGACCAGGCTGGACTGGAACTCAGAGACAGAGTTCTGCCTGCCTCTGCCTCCCAAGGGCTTGGACTAAAGCCCAGCTCCATCTCACTAGGTATTTGGGTTTTTTTTTTTAGGGGGGGGGAGGCTTGATTTTTCGAGACAGGGTTTCTCTGTGTCGCTTTGGTGCCTGTCCTGGATCTTGCTTTGTAGACCAGGCTGTCCTCGAACTCATAGAGATCTACCTGGTTCTGCCTCCCGAGTGCTGGAATTAAAGGCGTGTGCCACCACCGCCCGGCCTTTTTTTTTTTTTTTTTTTTTTAATTATCTATTGGTGTTTTGTTTGCATGTATATCTGTGCGACAGTGTCAGATCTCTAGAGTTACAGACAGTCGTGAGAGCTGCCATGTGAGTGCTGGGAATTGAACCCAGGTCCTCTAGAAGAGCAGCCAGTGCTCTTAACCGCTGAGCCATCTCGCCAGGCCCTCTCACTAGGTTTTAAGTGGACCTTTCTGGACACTTTTTGGAATGGAGCCCAAGGAGGAATCCCTGAGTAACTGAGACCCGGCTGGAGCAAAGGCGCACGGGTAGCAACGGCTGGCCCCGAGCAGCAGGAGGCGCCCATCTCCTAGTGTCCCTTTGTGAGTGACGCTGTGCTTGGGGGACAGGTGTCTTGGGTGAAACGGTGGCAGTGCTGACCCTCCCTAACGAGCAGCCCAGATAGAAGGGCAGCCTGACTGCAGCTCAAACCACACAGGACCCGACAGAGTTCGACAACTGAAGACCCGACGCACTGCACACAGCTCCCGCGCCACCCGCACCCGCACGGTGACCCGCCCTACCCGGCCAATACGCAATCTCCCAGCCTCCCCAGCGGTCTCGCACGTCTCATTGGTCACTGAAGCCACACAGTGCACCAATGACCGAGCTGCCTCGCCGGGGGGCGTGGCGCAATCACTGCGCACGCGCTGGAAGGCAGGGCGGGCAGGAGAAGTGACCGAAAAGCGAGAGGTTCCACCGGTAGCTGGCAGCCCTGGAGGACCCGGAGCCTGCGGATCGGCCGGAAGTGCCTGAGGACGATGAGGATGATGAGGAGGCACTGCCGCATTCTGAAGCCGTGGACGTGTTCCAAGAAGGTCTCGCCATGGTGGTGCAAGACCCGCTGCTCTGCGACCTTCCGATCCAGGTGTGCGACAGGGCTCTGGGGTGGGGATGGGCATCGGTGGTCCCACCAGCGAAAGACGCTTCTGCGCATAAGCGGAAAGTTTGGGGTGAGGGGAC